ACCATTCATTGAACAAAAATAAAGTACAGTTGTTTGAGAAAATTTATAAATATTGCCAAATCAAAACACGATTTCTGATGATTATCAAATTATTTAACATGATTGAAATGCTCCGCTTCATGTTCAATACAACGCTGAAACCTATCAGCAACGCTTCTAAAAAACCATTTGACATATTTCTTCGTTAATTTAGGAAAATCTATCAGACATTAGATGTTTAAAGAGACATCGACAGATCGATAGATAGATAGATAGATAAAGATATAAATAAACTCAGATAGCTAGCTAGCTAGCTAGATAGATAGATAGATATATGAACAAACTATGATTGATAGATATGATTGAAAAAAAGATATAAAATAGATAGATAGATAGATAGATAGATAGATAGATAGATAGATAGATGGACATAAACAAACTCAAAGAGATAGATGAACAAACTCAGATAGATAGATAGATAGATAGATAGATAGATAGATAGGTATTTCAGTACAAACCAACAAGGCTGGAGATGTTATATTTGATGATCATGATGGCTACTCAATTGTTCCACATCATTCTGTCAAACTCAGCTCGAACAAAGTCTGTTACTTTTGCCGCACCTTGTAGATTAAATTATTTCTAGCATGATTTCGTCCAAAGCGATATAGAGGAAACTAATATGTAATAACCCAATATTAATTGGAATATGATGGTAGGATATTGTATTTTTCCTTCCATTCAAAAGCCTAGATATGAAAGTAGATCTACAACTAAATGAATGTTCATGAGGACTTCGGCACACGGTATGGGTGTACCTTAACTGAAATGGAAAATGACTCCAACGGAAGAACTGTCAATAGAATATAAAGGAAAGGATCATGAAATCCATTCAATCCACAGCTGGATGTGACAAAGTTTTTTTAGCTGTTTCTAGTTAACTGTGTTAAATTTGGAGCAAATATAAAAGAAAAGAGATATTTAATAAAAAGAAAAACATACTGACAGACCAAAAACGACGTTAAGCACCAGGATAGACAATTCTAAATTAATATGCTTTGGAAATAGAAAATAAACGACAAAAAGTTAAAATGAATTGATCGACTCAGGTGTCAATGTCTGTGATAGATCTGTAAGAAATCAGTTGGATGAAATGGTATTTAGAGACAGAAAACTAACATTAAAACACAAACAGAAAAAAAAATAACGTTAAAATAGACTAGAGAAGCAAGCATACGTATATAATGGGTTTTCTCCTCGCTTGTCGACCTCTCTGTCTCCGGGCAGAGAGGAACCCAGATGAGTCTATCCTGAATGGCAGAGTCTCATCTGCGGAGGTAGCCAACAACCCTGCCCAGTCTATTCGGTGTTTACGGGGAATTTTTGTCCGAGCGTACGCGCTCGGAAAACCCCACATTGAAAACCGGTGTTGTACCACATCACGCCTTGTTAGGAGGTTTCGGATAAATACCGAGAAGCAATCATGGCATGTAAAGATTTTGAATTAAAAATCCGAACTGGAATGTTTGTTTGGCCTTGTTCAAATGATACATATAAAGATGACTACCTAAAGAAAAAAAAAAAAAAAGAAATCCACTGAGTCATCGAGGATCTTGTAGGTAAACGGCTATATATTACCATTATCATTATGAAAGAATTACGGATTTTATGACTGAAGAGATGAAATTATATATTAGACATTTTTCGTCGATGAATTCGAAAGTGATTTCAATATTGGGCTATAACATAATATTTTCCTCCAGATAATAAAAAGAATATTACTATTTAAATAACGTAATCTAGGAGGCATGGTAGTGTAATAGACGAATCGGAGGCCCGAGTAGAATCCATAACATTCATTTAAGTGCTAATTACCTTTGAAAGTTATTGGTAAGTAGCAGGACTGGTCTATGGCGGATAAAAAATCTGCCTCGTGAGTCATTTATCGAAAGATACATGATCGCCTATGCGCCTATCACGCATAGCACCCAGCTGGATTTAGTTTTTCTTAAAGTAATATTTTATGAAATCCGGACGTTCCGCTAATACATAAAACATTTTTGCCTCTTATCTGCTATTATTTTATTTATTTCCAAAGTGGGCATCCCCTAAATGTACTATTTTCTTATTTTAGTCAGTTAGTATCAGTTGGATTATATATATTGTTGAGGGGTCCACCCCTTTTTATACAAATGAACTCACCCAGTATATACATATACCACGGCTACGTGAAGAGAGAGCAAGACCGAAGAGTCGAGTCGAGTCCAAAGTGACAGAGTAAAAGTTTGTAGGTAACCGGAAGAGTGAGGGGTGAGGTAACAGCGTTGTAGGAGTCACAGTGAGCGAGAATGTAGACTCAGTAAGAAGTCATACAGCGATACTTCAATACCAAAGACTGTATATATATATTTTGCTACTAACCCGTATTCCTGGAACTACTAACCTGCATCACCAGTTTGTATTATTACGTTAATACATTATTTTCCTATATTCCTACCTGGCGTTTGTTATTTATTGATACCGGATTTCAACCCGGAATTTACAACATATATCTAAAACTATTTTGCATGGTTTCTATAATTTCTAACACTATTGTCATTGTTATTATTGTCACTGAATTGTTCAAGCTCCCATTAAAAATATATATTTATTTTTTCGAGTATAGTAGCATTGTTTTAAAATGCATTTGACTTGATTAACTTTTAACGTCATGCGACATTTTAACTATCTCTGGTTACCTCTCTAACATTGTGAACGCTTTTTTACAAAATAATATGGTAGCGGCAACGGTTAATTTTAAAATAATTATAACAGAGTGCGTTCATGCGTCTTTACAAAAGTCAACATCACAATGATAGCAGTTACAATAAATTTCTCTTTGTAATTGACCAATGAGGATGATCTTTGAGGAGATCGAAAGTACTTGGTTTAGCAAGAACTACAGCGACTTCCTTGATAAATTTCAACTTAACATAAAGCAGATAATTGGAGAACTAGACGAGATTAGTAGAAAAATATTCATAATATGTCTATATTTATCAATGAAACATGATTGAATGTAATATATACTGCATAAACACACACACATACAAATCATATATATATATATATATATATATATATATATATATATATATATATATATTAAAATTAGGTTAGAAATACAGTGTTTGACATATGAAATTTACTTTACAGCTTAGAATTCAAACTAAAATGAAAGCTTCAAGAAAGACTTCAATTTTTTTAAAATGCATTTTAATTCTTAGGTATCGTTTTAGGTATATATATATATATATATATATATATATATATGTGTGTGTGTGTGTATGTGTGTGTGTGTGTGTGTGTGTGTGTGTGTGTGTAAGAAAGTAAGTTGTTTTTATATCATACACTGGTAAAAAAAAACGTTGAAAATGCAAGGGGAGGCCTTAATAATATTTATTAAGAGTAACTTTACCGGTTTCACACTTCTATAAAGTTCAAAAGTTAAACTGTATTGGAGAGAATAGACATTGATCTGTTTCGAATCTGATGCGAAACAGATCATGTTTTGTTGAATATGGCAAACAAGTCAAATTTAATTAGTTTTTAACTGTCACTTATCCAATCAAACTTCCATGAAAATCATCTATCTACCCATAATTTACAAAAACCCTTAAGGAAAATTCTGGTCGAAAACACTAAAGTTCTGTATAAATCATATTACCGGAAACATCTTGCCGAGAGGTAGGCCCTCTATATAAAACCTCTTATTCCCTCTATCAATCTCACCTTATTCAACAGTGGAAATAGTGTGTTGATTTTTTAAATAGAAAGATGCTCCCTCGAATCCCAGCCGCGTTCAATACGCAAATATCAGAATAAAATTCTGCTAGTATTTAAAAGAATAAAACAAAAGATACATTTTAAACAGTCAAACAAGAAAAGAAAATTAAGTACGCCTAAAACAAACCCCTTTGAAAATGTCTAAAGAAGTAGTCGAAATCGCTTAGACAATATGGAAAGATATTGTTCTCTCTTAATCTGAACAAATATAAAAATACTAGAGAAACTAAATAAAAATGAATTAAATTTTCCTTTTCTACCATCATGTGTAAAAGAAAGGCTACTTCCCAAATATACATCTATATAATAAATGAGAATGCCAGTGTTTCACTGTGTCACACTTTTTCAACTTTATTCCTAGAAGCCGCAGCCCAAAATATTTCCATTTTGGAATCAGGCTGACTTCAAGAGAAAATGAAAAAAATATATTCGGCTGGATCCAGACTTTCAATCCTTAAATTTTGGATTCCCAAGTTTTCTTTACTGCGATTCATTTTTTTACGGGAATTTTTGCGACGAATTTTTTGTACGATAACGATTTTTATAATTTGGAGATAAATCTGGGAATAATCGAAATTAGTCACCCAGAAGTCACCCATAAGATAGAAGTAGTCGTTTGTACGGAAAGTAAGGAAACTGCCTTTAAATTAAGTTGCGATAGAAAAATTATCGTTGAACTTCTAAAAGTTAAGTTTAAATACTAATGCAATATTTAAATGCAGAGATCAATTTTGAGTTCTGGAGTTCATTGTTGTCTTTCGCTTATACTCTTCGCTACCTATTTTGATGAAGGACCAATCAAAACCCCTCTGCAGATGCTAGCTTAAATGTTGCCCCATAGGGCGGTTACTATCCTAGTTAATATGTGTGTTTGTATATATATATATATATATATATGTGTGTGTGTGTGTGTATGTATGTGTGTGTGTGTGTGTGATAACGATATATAAATTGTTACATATCAAGAATAGTTTTGAAAGAAATGATATATGACAAGGCTACGACTTCATCGTATATATACATACATTTCCACCATATGTAGACATTTTCATTGCTGCTGTTATTTTTTTGTGGTTTACATATCAGAAGAAATAAAAATTGAATCAATTTATGTTGAGTAGCGACAGCTAGAATAAAAAATTGAAGTAGCTTTTATTGTGAAATTGAAAAAAGTGAAACCAAATTATTACTGTTTTCTTCCTGCCATTACGATTCTTTCATAACCTGTAACGTTTTAGGCCGAGAAGCATATGTAACACCATTTTGTTTTTTTGTTTTTTTATTGCTTCTACAATTTTCAAGAACGGGGACGAATTTCTCTCGCTAATTTTATTTAACTTGTACGGCAAGATAATTCTAAGAAGATTATGAGAGCTACCAGGATTTGTTTTCGGTGGACACTTTAACAGTGTTTGCTAGGTAAATTATACAGTATAGATGGTTAAGAAAAGAAACGAAGATACTATTAGAAAATGTAATCGATAAAAACAAGCAAAAAAAAAATGATTTAACCATAAAACGTCAGTAGACAGAATATGTGTTTGTCAGCAAAATGAGCGCTCGAAAGTACGAGTTGCGTCAGAATTAAATTTAACGATCTGGCCATTTGAGTATTTTAGTATCATGATTGAACATGAGACACAGTAACTCGAATACGACTAGCGAATTATTCTTTACAGGAGAACAGTAAAGTATTAAAGC